CTTATTGAACCTCCCTATTAATCTATAATTTACTTTACAATGGCCTTCAACCCATGTGTCGATAATGAATGCATATATTTATTGAAAAATGTGTAGTTTCGTTTTGAAATTGGATATTTCTATTTAGTTTATTTTTATTTAAACACAAATATTGCATTACAATATTTATACCCTTCACCACACTGTGGTACAGGGTATTATGTCTTTGTGCATATGTTTGTAACAGGCAAAAGGAATCGAGATAGACTCATGGTTCCTTTTGAGAATATGCATAGAATCACTTTCTAAGTCGATTTACGCATGTCCGTCTGCCCGTCCGTCCGTCTGTCCATGTTAAATTGTAAACAATGTACAGGCCGCTTATTCATTTGGCCCAAGCACACCCTATTGAAATTGGGAAAAATCGGTTCAGATTTAGATATAGCTCCCATATATATTTTCGTCCGATTTAATGTAAATGGTGCACCAAAGTCCCTAAATAGCTTTCGATTTCCACGAAATTTGGCATAGCGTACTGAATTTAGTCCAGACCGATGTGTGCCAAGTTTCGTGAAAATCGGTCCAGATTTAGATATATCTCCGTTATATTATAGATAGATTTCAAGTAATTGACGCACCAAGGATCCAATATATGGCTGATAGGAACAAAACGTACTGAAATTGCCTAACCTGTGACAAGTTTCGTTGAAATCGGTTCATATTACAATATAACTTCCATATATATTTTCGCCCGATTTTAAGTAAATTGGACATCAGACTCCTCCTGTTAGTCAGATTGACTTCAAATTTTGCACAACGTACAAAATTGAGCATAGAATTACTTAGTTGCGTTTTCTAGAAGTACAGACCTATTGATGAAATATTGATATTTGTTTGAAGTCGATTTACATACTTTAGTCCCATTGTAACAATCGAATGACATGTTTATGGATAGATCTAAGTCGACCACATTTAGATAAATATCACATATTTTATTTCATACAATTTCATGTTAATAGTCCTGTTTAATATACCCATAGTGGTAAAGGGTATAATATAGTCGGCCCGTCCGACTTTACTACTTTTCTTACTGGTTTTTAATTCACAAATACTGTTTTTACATTCACTGTGCTGAGAAATAGCTGTTTATACAATTATTTTCGCCAAGGCCGATTTGCTATTTATTCAACATAAGTTGTATCTGCGATTTGTGTACTTCCCCTTTGTTCAATACCAAACAATTTGCAACATTTCAAATCAAGTGATATTTTAGTTACATGAATATAAAATATTTAGTTACAATGAATTCCGCCAAGTGGCAAAGTCGTATAGTTCAGCAAAGCCAATGTATCAATACACTCCAACATAAGAATGAGTCGATTTCAAAATTGTGGTTAAATGAATGATTAACAAATGGATTTCTACCTAATTTTCGCATACATAGGTAATATAGATATCTATACTGATAAAAGAGTAAAGTGATTGAAATTTGACGTTCGGAGCACTTTTGGGATGTAGGATTGGGCTTTGTGGAAATTTTTGGGAATTCATACTAATGTGTACTAAATTTAACTTTTAAGTGAACCAATTAAGCCAGAAACCTTGAAATTTGGAAATAAGGTTACTGTTAGAGTGTAGGATTGGGAAATTCATACTTATGGGTACTAAATTTGGTACAATTTGAATTTTGTGTGAACTGATAGAGCTGGAATCCTGCAATTTGGAGTTACGATCTTTGTTGGTATGTAGTATTGAGCTATGTAGAAAGTTTTGGAAATTCATACTAAAATTAAATTTTTGGTGAACCAATACAGCTGGAATCCTGAAATTTGGCCTTAGGGTTACTGTTGGGATGTAGGATTCGGTTACGTAGAATATTGTGGACTTTTATACTAATGTGTACAAAATGATACTAAATGTGGATTTGGGTGAACCGATAGAGCTGGAATCTTAAAATTTGGTGTTAGGATCACTGTTGGAGTGTAGGATTGTGCTTTGTAGGAAGTTCTGGAAATTCATACTAATGTGTACTAAATTTTGTACAATTTAAATTTTGGTTGATTGGGATATGTAGAAAGTTTTGGAAATTTGTACCAATGTGTACAAAATGGTAACAAATAAGGTTTTAAGTGAACCGATAGAGCTAGAATCTCGAAATTTGAAGTTAGGATCACTGTTGGGGTGTAGAATTCAGGTATGTATAAAGTTTTGGAAATTCGTACTAATGTGTAGAAACTGGTACACAATTTGGATTTAGGTAAACCGATAGAGCTAGAATCTTGACATGTGAAGTTAGGATCACTTTTGGGGTGTTGGGGGTATATGGAATGTTTTGGATTTGACCCAGGGTGCGAAGAATGATTAAAATACACTCTTTCTCACGAATGCTCACGGGCGAGAATTCGAATGTTTCCTATTTATCGCGAATGATAATATTATAATGATAACACAAGCATTTGCATTATCTCGCGAAAGCATTGTACGAAAAATTCAAGAAGATAAACTTTCGCTGCAAGCGTCGTCGATTAATTCTCTCGCGAGCATTCTTTGCTGGAGAATAAAAGTTTTATCGTAAAACTTTATGGCGAACATTTCAGTAGAACATTCTGAGCCGCTTTAACCCCGTTTTGAAAATGTTTTCAATCACTTCTGGAAAAGGGGACCAAAAAGACCCCTTCAATGAGCCGGTAGAGGATTAAAGTTGTATAGCAAAATATTCTCCGATATTTTATCAGTAATATTACCGAAGACACTATATACCTAAAATGCAAGAATTTCATGAAATCATAATTCGAAAGTGATAACAATTCTAGAAAATGGGGGAATATTGTCCCCCCCTTTTTAGGTTACCTCCCGACGTAAACATTCAAAACGCCGATACACGTGTCTTCTTTTTTTAGCCCCTCTTTCATAATAAGTTGGAATTTCCCGGTAATTATCAAAAAAATTAAATTTGTCGCACAGTTTAATTTATTTGCAAATAATTCAAAATTTGTTATAGTTTGTTGTTATTTTTTTCTTATTATTTGAAATAAGATATAAATGGGTCATTGTTCTATAGTTTTTCAGCAGATTAATCTGTGTTGTAATTGTGTTTCCCAAAAGAGAGAATGTACTCAAAAGCTTTCCATTTGCAAAGTAGAAACTGCGGCAATGACATTGATCTTGAGTAGCATACACACTGTTTTTTAAATTTTGAGAGAGTAGTTTATTCTCGTATGTAAATAAAAAAATATTTTCAAAATTTATAGGGTTGCCATTACAATGTTAGTTCGCACACTTATAATAAAAATCTTTTTAATTATTGTTGTTATCATCAATTTAGTTCTTGGTTAAAAAAGCAAATCTTAAATTTATTCTGTATATGAAATAGTTATATTGAATGATAATGCAATTCATAGTTGCGTGAACAGCTTATCAATAAGAGTCCAAATTGGCAGGCGTACGTATTTGCCTTTATGTTATATTTGAAAATATTAAGCTTTTTTGTTTAAAAAAGCTTGTATTGAGTGTACCGACACAAGAGTGTACCGACAAAATATAACTACTTGATGCGTCTCATATATATTTTAGTCAAATGACAACACGATTTTAAACTTTGGCCACAGTACAATTTATAATAGTCTTACCGACATGATAGGATGATGATCGCTAAACGATATTTTATTTTATGTGGACTAAGTTAAATTATCGATATCGACGATAAGTTCGTCCATACCAAATTTGAGAAGCGTCCTTAACCATTAAGAACTTCGAATGTCGCATTAGAGACATGAAAATAGAGCGAGACCTTTTATGAGGTTTACCCCAAAACGTGTTTTTATTCACTGGAAATCCTATATGCATCAAAGTGCCGATAATATAGGCACTTCGTAGAAATTCGTTTAAAAATTTAGTAACACCGAAAATGGGTGGTATCATTTTGTGGATAATACATCGCAACTTGTACTTATATAGCAAAAGTTTTGCAAACATGTGTTTTACCATCCAATATCCTGGAATTCCAAATTAGAGCCATTACAATAAGAAAATGCAGGTAAAACCTTAAAATTGCTTAGATTGACGATTGAAATTCTCAAAAGAGAGATCAACATTGATGTTTTTGATGTGGTGATACCGCTATGTGAAGCCAAAATGCTGAATTACAGCCAATTCGGTGAAAAAAAACTTGTCCAAAATCCTTGGAATACCGAATACTTGGGGGTACCATTAAATGGGGGCTTCCGTGAATCTTGGGTCAAACTTAAGCTTGGAGATGTGCTACACAATGAGAACCCAAAATACCAAATTACATTCGGTTGGAAAACGTGTCCATAATAATACATAATAATATATTGGGAAATATCGTTATATGGGGGCTACCCTGAAACTTGGGTCAATATTAGTAGTACGGATATGTGATATTCAATGATAACTCACAAAACAAATTTCAACCAATTCGGTTGGAAAACGTGTACAAAATCTCCAAAATACTGAATATTGGGATGACCCTTGTACGGAGGCTACCCGGACACTTGGGTCAATAATAATTATTTTTGGTATGGAGGTTTGCTATATAATTAGAACGGATATGACTAAATCTACATTGAATTCTATTGGCGGATTCTCATTGGATAGAAAATTTCCCTACTAAAACCCATAATATTGACATTAATTTCTAGGTGGACCTCATATAACAGTACCCCAAATTTTCGGCACGACTTTCCAACTGGTTTCACTACTATCACGCCATTTAACACATTAGTTTCTAGGTAGACCCCATATAACAGTACCCAAATTTTCGGGACGACTTTCTTACTGGTTTCACTACTATCACGCCATTTAAGACATTTCAAATATCACAAAATTTGTCAAATTTTGTTTTATAAAATATTCGGTTCACCCTAATGTATTACTTTGGGGCTTTATAATTGTTGTCATCATAAAACAAGTTTGTATTTATTATTTAGTTTTCGTCTGAAGGGCTAATGGACAAGTTGATAATTTAAAGCAAACAAAAATAGCCGCTACGACACGCAAAAAATATGACGGAAAATAATAACGTACCATCATGGATTCAAGCAAATCTCTTTGAAAAAATCTTACGCGATACAATACCAAATTTTAAAGAAATTAAAAATTTCAAAGCCTTCAATGCTTTGCCACCGGGAGAAAATTATGCCACGGTCATGCTGAAACTCCAATTTGAAGTGGAACTCAACGATGGAACCGCTATGACAGATACACTAATGATGAAAGTCCCCCATGACACCGAGTTATATCGTGAGGAAATATCCAAATGGCAAATGTTCACCATTGAAGCTTTGACATATAACGACTTTGTCAGGGAGTTTGAACAAATGTACCGGGAAGTGGGATTAAATATAAAATTAAGTCCACAATCCTATCAAATACCCATCGAAGAGGAATACATTTTGCTGGAAGATTTAAAAAAGCAGGGTTTTCGTAACACTAAACGGCAAGATGGTTTAAATATCGATCATTGTAAATTGGTACTCAAGAAGCTGGCTCAGTGGCATGCAGCCTCTGCGGTAAGAATTGAACGCAAAGGCCACTATCCACAGGAATATGTTCAAGGCCTAATCAATAAAAAGGGTTTTGAATTCTTTCGAACTGTAATGCAAACATGTGCCAAAAATGCTGTTAAATCTGCCAAAACTCTACCCGGACATGAATTATATTTAGAGCAAATGGCCAAATTGGGAGAGACATTTACGGAGAATTTCTATGAAAAGACCGCAGCCGATCCTAACGAATTTAATGTCTTAAATCATGGAGATACCTGGAGCAATAATATTATGTTCCAATATGATGAGCAGGACAATGTCAAAGAGTGTTACTTTGTTGATCTGCAGATTCCAAAATATGGTTCATTAGCTCAAGATGTTCTCTATTTTCTAATGACATCATCGCAACTGGAGGTGAAAATAAATTGTTTCGATGAATTGATACGTTATTACCACGGGCATTTGAAGACACACTTGCAATTGTTGAAATATTCCAAGGCAATACCCACTCTGGGTGATATACATCGAGTACTGATAAACAATAGCAGCACTTGGGGTAAGTTGGTCACTACTTATTTGATAGAGAATATATTAAAATGTGTATAAACTTTTATACATTTTTCAGCTGTATTTGCTTTGTGGAACGTCTTACCAGCTGTTCTGGCACCTCCGTCCAAAGATGCCAATGTTGATAATCTAGTTGGAGATAGCGAAGAAAGTAATAAATTTAAAGAGCTGATATATTTCAATGACAACATAAGGAAGCATTACGAACTTGTATTTCCCTGGTTATACCATAGGGGTGCATTTGATTTGTAATAAATGTTAGTATAAAGCAATTGTAATTAAAGAAAATACATAAAATAATGAACATAAAGTTTTAGAAGAAATTGTAACAAGTAAAATCGTTTGATACCTTTATATTTGTTGGGCTGTGTTTGTTGATACCCAATGAGAACGAAATTACAACCAATTTGGGTATAAAATGCACCCACAATCCCCAAAATACAGAATATTGGAGATAATTTTTAGCACGAAGACCTACTACCCAATTTGAATTCAAAATACGAATAGGTTGAAAACGTGTCCAAATTATACCTAATATCGATAGTATTTATAATTTGTTGATTCTCGTGCACAGAAAAAACATTTAATTAATATTTTTATTGGAAAATAGTCATATAGTTTCATAATCTCATTCATAGTTATTTTTCCATATTGTACATGTACCTCGCTTTGAATACAATTAGAAATTCTAATAAACATTAGAAAGCCACAATTTTCTCCTAAAATGTAAACATTTCATTAATATCACAACTTTTTTCCTACTTCGTTCTATTTACATCTCTCTCTCTCTCTTTCTCACACTCTTTTTTTCAACAAAAACAAAGATATCCCTCCCCAAGAGAAAAAAACACGATATGTTAATATCTACAATATCCTGTAGATAAAACAGACATAGAATCTTTGAGGCAAATTGAGATGGAATCGGGCGAAATTAAATGTGCTATATCTATACTAATAAAAAAGTAAAGTTATTGACTGACTGACTGATTGACTGACTGATTTAACGGTTCATCAACGCCCAGACAAAACGGCTGAAGCTAGAATCTTGAAATTTTGGGCGAGGGTCACTCTTGGTCCAAAGGTGACAGATAAGGCTGGGTTTTTGGAAATTCGTACTAGAACGGTACGAAAAGTACTAAAAAGTACTAAATGTGATACCATTTGTATTTGGCAAACCGGTGGAGCTAGAACTCTGAAAACCGGTGGAGCTAGAACTCTGGTTTCGTGGTCGTTGATTGACTGTAGGATAGATGTACTAAAGGGTTTTTGGAAATTCGAACTATAACTATCCGAAAAGTACGAAAATGTACTAAATTTGGTACAATTTCGTAACATGTGAATGAATTGATCTAAAAACTTGAAATTTGGAATGTAAAATAACGTTGAGAAGTAGGGTCGATATGAGGAGAGTTTGGAAAGCGTGTACTCATGTGTACGAAAAGTACTATATGGTACTATATTTGGTACAAATTTGATTTGGAGGTACAAATCGAGCTGGGATCCTGAAAATTGAAATTAACATTACCGTCGGAGTGTAGGATTGGGATATGTACATAGTTTAGGAAATTTTTACTTATGTGTACAAAAAGTACTAAATCGTACTATAATTGGCACAATTTGTAGGATTGGAGTATGTAGGAAGATTTAGAAATTGGTACTAATGTGTACTAAATTTGGTACAATTTAAATTGTGGGTGATACAATTTAAATAGAATTGGAATCCTGAAATTTTGATTTAGGATCACCGTGGAGGTGTAGAATTAGGGTATGTAGGAAGTTTTTGAAATTGGTGCTACTATGTACTAAATTTAGTACAATTTGAATTGTGGGTGAACCGATAGAGTTGGATCAGTGTGGGGGTATGATTGGGGTGTGAAGAATGTTTTAGAAATTCGTACTACTGTGTACTAAATTTGGTACAATTTGAATTTTTGTACTAAATTTGATACTATTTGGATTATAATTACGATTTTATCTAATTCATGATTTCAATTTGATTGCATGATGTAGTTAGTAATGGAAATTTTTACTTATGTGTTCTAAGTGGTACAAATTGGATTTAAGTGAACCGATAGAATCCTGAAATTTGGAATTAAGATTGGGGTATGTGGGAAGTGTTCGAAATTCGTACATATGATTGCTAAAGTAGGTAGTTATGGAAATTTATATTAATGTGCACTAACTGATACTCAATTTGGATTTGGGTGATTTTTTTTTTTCAAAATAAGTATAACAAGAGTACAAATGGTAAAAAAATACAAATGTAGTATAGAGGCAGATTTCTGTTGCGGTCGGAATGGGTGTGATACAGAGGTATATTTGAGAACATACTATGGTACTAAATGGTTCTAAAATTTTAATAATGGTCGATATAGGGTGGTTTTAAATACATCCCACATTCGCTAACGAAGTAGCGGGTATATGCTAGTAGATAGATATTTGAACCAATTGAAACCAGTAAGGAAAGTAGTAAAGTCGGACTGGGCCTACTATATGATACCCTTCACCACTTTGGGTATATTCTACACAAAATTGAACGAACATAAATATGTGATAGTTCGAAATTGTATATAGAAGCCATGTTATATCTATATCTGAACCGTTTTCAAGGAAACTTGCCAAAGATTAATTTATATTAACATCAGTATGTTGTGTCAATCGGCCTAGCTATGGATCTTTAGTACACCGTTTACTTGAAATCGGACGAATATATATATATATATATATAGGAGGTGTATGTAAATCTGAACCGATTTTCACGAAACTTAGCACACATCATTCTAGACTTAATTCAGTACGCTATACCAAAATTCGTGCAAATCGACTTTAGTGCACCATTTACATAAAATCGGACGAAAATATATATGGGAGCTATATCTAAATCTGAACTGATTTTCACGAAACTAAGCACACATCATTCTAGACATAATTCAGTACGCTATGCAAATCGAATGATTTTCAGGTATTTATACCCTACACAACTATGTTGTCAGGGTATTATAGCTTTGTGCATCCCCAAAAGTTTGTAACGCCGCGAAATATTGGTCCTAGACCCACCTTTATGTATACCGATCGTCATATCTCGACTAGCTGAGTTGATCTAGACATGTGTGTCCGTCCGTCCGTCTGTCCATTAGAATTTGTAAACACGATACAGGCCACAGTTATGGACCAATCTTTATGAAATTTTGCATGTAGGATGGGTTCTGGCCAATGAAGACCCCTATTGTTTTTGGTAAAGATCAGTTAATATTTAGGGGATGAAATGGACCAAATACTAAATTTTTGTCGGTTTTTCTGATCGCTCCAGAGGCCGCAATTATGGTGCGAACATCGCGAAATTTTACATGGAGAAGGGGATCGGGCCAAAGAATAAGCATGCCTGTTTTGATAAGGACCCTGACTTTTGTGTGAAAAATTACAAATTTTGTATTCTATTGCCTATATATTTGCCCCTGAAGGACATAGACCCGAGAAGTTGATAGTATGTTCAAGAGAAGTGGTTGACCTTACCAATTATATGGTCGTACGTACTCAGATGTGGGAGTTACACTTAAATATTTACAGGTGCTTACGTACAGAGATATTATTTTGTAACCCATTACCACACTAGAGGGCGGAAATATGTCGCTGGTCGCTCTGAAATTTTCCAATTTTGGTCAAGGACAACGCCTATTATTTTCGGCGATGATCAGATAATCATTTTGGCATGTAGTGGACCGAACATATATATATATATATATGCCACAATTATAAGCCGAACATCACAACACAACCCACGGTGAAGGGAATCTGGACAAGTAATTAGAAAGGCTGTACTGAATATTAAATATCGAAACATATGTCATAAAAGGTACTGTAGACCTCTAAACAAACCTTATCACAAATATTGCCCAGGATCAGAATAAACATCCGCAGATAGTTAGAGTTCCGTGGAAGTTGTGTAGGGTATCGTATGGTCGGCCCCGTCCGACTATACTGCTCCGCTCACTGGTTTGGTGCACCATTTAACTAAAATCGGGCGAAACTATATATGGGAGATATATATATATATATATATATATAAATCTGAACCGATCTTCACGAAACTTAGCACACGTTATTCTAGACTTAATTCAGTAGGCTATACCAAATTTTGTGTAAATCGAAAGATATATAGGGACATTGGCGCACCAATTACCTTAAATCGGATGGAACAAATATTGGGACAAATATTGGGAGTTTGGAGTATCATTCACAAAAAATCGTACAAATCTATATATGGGAACTATATCTAAAGCTGAACCGATTTCAACAAAACTTCGCATGCATAAGTATGGACATCAGTCTGGACCTAATTCAGTACTCTGTACAAAATTTTGTCCCAATCGAACAAATATTGGGAGTCACATAAAATCGGACGAAACTATATATGGGAGCTATATGCAAATCTCAACCGATTTTCTCCAATAGGGTTCGTCCTTGGGCCAAACAAGTGAACTGTGCGACATTCTCCAAATCGGATCATAAATGCGACCTGTACACTGTTCACAAAAATACATGCGTAAATCGACTCAGAAAGTGATTCTATGCATATTCTCATAAGGAACAATGGGTGAATCTTGATTCCTATTGCTTGTTACAAACATATGCTCAAAGACATAATACCCTGTACCACAGTGTGGTGAAGGGTATAAAAACTTTTTTATTTATAAAATTAATATATTTTATTTTCAGATATCTTCATACTTCTATTTGTTTTTCGCGACTTTTAAACCATATGTCAATGTGATTTAATATATATATATATATATATATATATATATATTCGGCCGATTTTTAGCTAATGGTGCACCAAATGGGATCTTTGGTTAGTTATGCCGATTGCCACAACATTTTGTTCTCGTCTGTTTACATTTTCGCCAACAGAGTCTTAATCAAAATAGCCATGGCGCCTTGGAAATTTAGATGCAACAAGTCAACTGCAGAAGTCACAAAAAAAAAAATTATTGTTATTGATTACTATATTTCATTTGTATTATTTATTAACAAACAAAATTAAATTTTTCCGGGAGTGTGTCTCTTTATTAATTATTTAGATATATGTATATGCATTTATATGATGTACATATATTTATGCACTTATCGTATTCACATGGGCAACTATTAATTAACAAAACAAACAAGTGTGTCTGGTGTCGAATATTTTAGTTTTAGTGCGCGATTTGAAAATATTATCGATAAACCACATGAATATTAAAATCTACATACATATACGAGTATGAATATAATTGCTGGCAAATTACTTTTGTACAACATGTTGGCAATTGTGAATTTTAATGCACTAACAACGTTCGAATCGAACGCTTAACATATTTAGATGGTTATGTCAGTACGTGACTTGGTATATCTTTTATATTTGCGCCTACAACATTCAATTTTTTTTATAAAATTTGATGCTTTAAAACACTGTTAGATGGTTAGCAAACTTACAAAAAATTTATAGATAATTATCATTGCAAACCTTGTTTATATTTTTTTACAATGGCATTTCTCTCTTCACTTACACAATTATTGCTATAAATTTCACAAAATTACAAAACTCTCCTTTGGAAAATATGTAATCAACAAATCAGAACTTTTAAATTTACACAAAAGCTTTTTTCTCACGAATCATTTATATATAGAGAAAATAATGAGTATATCATCACAAAGTTCGGATTCAAAATTTAGTAAAAATATCAACATTTTTTATTAGAGTTGTGCACAGACAACATGGAAGTGGAAAAATTACCATATCCTCCATGGATAGAAACCCCGAAATTTCATCCATTGCTTCGAGAAATATTTACTAATTTTAAAGAAATCGTTAATTTTAGTGTGAAACCAGCAATAGATCCTGGTGAAAACTATTCTACGGTGATTCTGCGAATAACGGTAGAAGTGGAATTAGAGAGTAAGTCATAAATATCTTAAAAAATAATATATAAAAATCAGTAAGGAAAGTAGTAAAGTCGGACGGGGCCTATTATATGATACCCTTCACCACTTTGGGTATATTCAACAGATGAATCCTAACAGACGCAATTTTGAAGGACCAGTAAAATGAATGGACCTACAAACATGTCTTTTTGCAACCTATACAAAATTTTTCATTTGGTGTGATATAGAGTTGCTTTATACAGAGGGACAAAATTATGTAAATCAATTTAAAGCAAATATCAATCGGACGACCGTTGGTTATTTGAATACATATCTGATAAACATGCGGAGTTTGGTGCACAATTTACTTAAAATCGGACAAAAATATTTATAAAAGCTATATTGAAATCTAAGCCGATTTCATCGAAACCTGTCACAGCATATCGGCCACATTTTGAGTTCTTGGTGCATCATTTACTTAAAATCGGAGAAAATATATATGGTAGCACTATCCAAATTTGAAACGATTTCAATAAAACTTTCCACATGCTAGGTTATATAAACTTTAGTACCTTGTGCAAAATTGTGTGTCAATCTGCCTAACTTTGGGTTTTGGTGCACCTTTTACTTTAAATCGGACGAAACTATATATAGGGACTATATCTAAATCTAAACCGATTTAAACAAAACCTGCCACACGTTTTTTTTATAATGACATTCATAAGTTGTGCACAATTTTGTGCCAATCGGACCTACCTGGGGAGTTTGGTGCAAAATTTATATAGTTTATACTATACGAAAGATGGACTTTGGTGCCCCATTTACATTATGTCGGAGGAAAATATATATGGGAGCTATATCAAAATCTAGACCGATTTTCAGGAAACTTAACACACATCATTTTGGACCCAATTCATTACACTGTTCCAAATCTTGTGTAAAGGAAGATATATATATATGGGAGCAATTTATATCAAAATCTAGCCAAACCGATTTTCGACCTGTATTTGTTTACAAAACTTAACACACATCATTTTGGACCCAATTCATTACACTGGTCCAAATCTTGTGTAAATCGAGCCGAACTTTTTAACTCTGTGTTATGTGATAATAGGTTACCTACAAACCTAAAAATTATTCCTCTTTTCGAATTTCATTTCAGATGCCACCACAAAGCTGATTTCTTTTATCATGAAGGTCCCTCCAGAAAATGAAATATTCCACAAAGTAATGAAAGTTTACAATGTTTTCGAAGTAGAAACAGCTGTTTATCAAGATATCGTAACTGAATTCGAAGAAATGTACAGAAATACAGGACTAGAAATAAAATTTACAGCCAAACTATACAATTCAGAAGTAGAACAGCCTCATCTCTTATTAGAAGATTTAAGCGTAAGAGGATTTAAAAATATGCCTCGTCATGAAGGCCTAGATATGGAATACATGAAAGCGGCACTTAAAAAATTAGCTCAATGGCATGCTGCCTCAGCACATCGTGTAGCCACCAAAGGACCTTACCCCTCTGCCATATGTGAAAGTTTTCTCTCCGAATCTTTACGTGATATAATGAGAAATTTATCTGACTCATTTCATAAGGAATTTCTGGAATGTGCCAAATCTTATAAAGATGTGAAGGCATATTACCATGATTTGAAGCAGAATGATTACGATGAATTACTTCGCTCTGTTGAAGAAGAAAAATACGATTTTTGTGTTCTCAATCATGGCGATTGTTGGTCAAATAATATTATGTTTCAACATGATGCCACGGGTAATATTAACGAAACCTATTTAATAGATTTCCAAGGGCCACGATATGGTTCACCTGCACAAGATCTATACACTTTCATATTATCATCGGCAAAATATGAATTGAAATTGGAAAAATTTGATTATTTTATTAGATACTATCATGATTGTTTAGTTGAAAATCTGAAAATTTTGAATTATCCAAAGGCGACACCGACATTGAAAGACTTACACATCATGTTGTGTAAATATGGTATTTGGGGTAAGTATTCGGTATCATCTCTGTAAGAGATTTATTTTAAATGAATATCCTTTTTAATAGGTTACAAGGCTGCTGTTGGTTCCATGGCCACCGTTCTACAGGATAGTTGCAAAGAAGCAAATGTAGACGAATTTAATTTAACTGACGATGGCGGAAAACGTTTCAAAAATAAACTATTTACAAATCCCAAATATCTAAAACATATCGAAGTGGTTCTTCCATGGTTGTATAATCGTGGATCTTTCTAAGGTAAACAATTAGAATAGAAATTGATTTTTTATTCAAAATAAATATTTCTAAAAAACTGAAATTGTTCATAATCTCGTAGGAGCTACTAGGAGCGTCTCCATCATGGCTAAATGTAAAGATGGCCAGAAGTGGCTGATTTTGGTATTCCGAATTATTACAGGCTGACATACATCTATGTAGAAATAAATAAATATAGGTCCATGTGTTGACATAGCCCCCACATAAAATAATCGGTCCATTTTCCATATTTTAATGGTTTTATTAGTCCCCATCCATATAGAAAATGATCAATGAGATCCATGGGTTTTAGACGCATTTCCCCACACCTAAAATGGCTGGTATTTGGTATTTCGAGTTCTTGGAGCGCGAAAAATGTTTTCCCAAAAATCACATAGTCTTACCAAATTTGCTAAACTATTTTTTAAAAAAATTTATATAATTTAAATTTAGTTAAGGCATAGTTTTAGTTAAGGCATAGTTTTAAAACTATTTCATGATATTCCGATTAGAAAAGTTTCTTACATAGGTCCAGTTTTTGTATATTCCCTTTATTATGATCCCAACCTTTCAATACATCCAAAGTAGGGGCCGTTTTTCAAAAAATTGATATAATTTAAATTTAGTTAAGGTATGACATAGTTTTAAGACCGTAATATATAAAAACTATTTCATGCTATTCCGATTAGAAAAGTGTTTTCCATAGGTCCAGTTTTTGTATATTCCCTTTCAATACATCCAAAGTAGGTACCGTCTAATATGTTAATGAAGCTAGGATTGGGCTTCTGACAAAAATTATCGATGTCGCAGTAGGTAATTCCTGATATTTGAAAAGTTGCCCAGCAATAGCATTTTGTTCTTGTTACCCACCACCATGGTTTTAAGGAAACATATAGCACAACATCGTTTTTGCAAGAAATTACAACCAAAATTGCCAATGATTGTGACGACCACCTGAACGGACCATTGTGGCAGCCTTAGATCTGTCTAAGGCGATCGATCATTCCGAGCTGATATCCGACATCACAAATCCCACCTTTCCGAGTGATATCAAACGTTGTCCTGTCAACTACCTTAATGGCCGAAAGCCTTTGTTGAGTTCCGTGGCGAACTCAAATATCGCAAGATCAAAATGAGTGTGCCGTAAGGTGGTGTCCTGTCTCCCATTTTTTCAATATGTATCTTGCGAAACTCCCCATTCTTCCACCACCATTTTTCCAACAGTCGTACGCCAATGACTGTACGATTATATCGTCCGGCGTTAACATTGTCAACGTAAGTTCAAAAATTAGCCACTAAGCTAAGTAGTAGTCTTGCAAAACGTCATTCCATCGGACAATAGCAAACGCAATCAAATCCGTGCATCAACAGACGGTCTCAGATGCCAACATCTTCTGGCAGTTTCGAACAGTGAGAGGCTTTTTCCTAGGCAAACTGGTTCGATTCTCAACTCGTATCGATAACGCATTGTCCCCGGAATTCTAAATATGTGTCTCTCCTGCCAACAAAGCCCTCACGAAACACACCATCTATTCAATTGTCCGTCCGAGCCTACAAGTCTATTGCCCATAGACTTATGGGTAATGCCAATAGAGGTGGCACAATTTCTCCGGTTACCCCCTACATATCCTAATTCCTAATCAATAATTATTATCTATATATATAAAATAGAAAAAAATTTGTTTGTTTGTTTGTTTGTATGTTACCGATAGACGCAAAAACCGCTGAACAGATCTTAATGAGATTTACACTGTATGTCGGGACGGGCCCTGAAAGTAACATAGGCTATATAAACTTTTAAAATTCCGCGTGGATGCGGAGTTATAGCATCAATAGTAAACATACCTCAAATTTTCTGAACATGTAATATGCGTTTATCTTAAGAACGGTTACAGATAACGCCTTCAAAATGTATCTGTATATCATAGGTGTGAATACACATTATTCATAAAAATATGAGCGAGATAAGATCGATGGAAATGTACTCTCCGTTACACTTAAATAATCTACATGTAGGAAATAAAAAATGTTTTGTTTCTAGACGCAAAAACCGTTGAACAGATTTTACTGAGATTTTTACCGCACATCATGCCATCCAATGGAAATAATATAGGCTATATAAACTTCCAAAATTTCGCGTGGATGTGGAGTTATCGCATCGAAAGTAATTATACATCTGAACTAATATTCATTTTCTAAGCTTATCGGGCATGTTCTGGCATTCACTTCAACGGCAGAAGTGTATCGAACACACGCCGAGGTGTTCTGTAACACACTTTACACCCATTTGAGGTGTATTCTTTACACTTACATTTCCATAGTGAAAATCAGGTTTTTCCATATAAAAGAAAAACTTTTTTGAAATAAAAAAGGCACATATATAGTGATATTTTATTATTGCGTATAATTTGTTTAAAACACAAAATGAACATGAAACACCATTAAAAACAAATTTTAAATAGATATATATGTTTGAATTTTCTTCAACTGAAATTTGGCTTAACACAAACAGCTGATTTGAACTAAGCCTAAAGTGATGTTACCAAATGTTTCTTAAATCAATAAACAAATTAATGATATTACAGAGTTTTTCATACATATATAGTTTCGAATAATAAAATATTAAAAAAAATCATAATAAAATTGGTGCGAAATTACTAAAAAAATACAGAAACAATGTTAAAAATATCAGTTTATATTGTTGCAACAAATTTCTGCAAATTAAATGTACGTTTATTTTTGTCGCAGTTCAAAATTTCAATTCACGTGAGAAGCAGAACAGGAGGTAGCTTCTGAGGTGAAGTGTATGTGTAAAATGAAAAGAACACACCGTGAGTTCCAGAACATACCCGTATATCTCAAGAAGGGTTACAGATTCCCATTCCAAAATTTGTCTGAGTAACTTGGTAGCAAATACGCATAATCCCTATAAAAATTGGCGTGATACAATAGGGGAAAATATACTCCTAACTGCATTTAGTTAATCTAAATGTAGAATATGGAAATTCTTTTGGTTGTTGAAACAAAAACCGCTAAATAGATTTTACTGAAATTTTCGCAGTAAGTCATGCCAACCGATTTCATGTAAGATGCAAGATAAACTTCGAAAATTCCGCTATGACGAGGAATTTTAGCATCAACAGTAATCATACCTCTGAACTAATATTCATTTTCTATACATATATTTGAATATCTTAAATAAATCGGCTCATACAAATTTGTATGATACGCAGATAATTGCATACTAATCATAAGTGACCAGGAATTATCAAAATTGGTCCAAATCGATAATGTTCGACTCATTATTTTTTGTCCTTTTATGTTATTATCAGTAATGGTAAAAACCACCAGTTCAGTAATTTCGCTAACGTCTACTGTTTTTCATCTTCATTATCTACATATTGGAATAAAATTTGTGTACAATGAAAAATTTTTGATATTCTAATTTTTTACATTTTGTCAATTTGTGAAAAAAATAAAATTTGAATTTTTAATTTTAAAAGTTAACCACCATTAAAGAAAAAGACTATTAATTCAATATATTTTCCAAAAGAGAAATTCTGATTGTTTAATAAAAGTTATGAAATCAAATTTTGCATCATAGCTGATATATTTCGAGGAAAGAGGAAATGACTAACTCAAATGCCACAAATCCTATCTTCGGACTTGATCATGGTTTCTTAAGAATAACAATACTATATCTAGGTTTGGTAAAAATATTATGAATGTGAATTTTTCTTGGCAATGAAACAATTAAAAATACACAACTCAAACTTAACAAGGATCGTCAGGTATATAAGCGATATTAATCGGAGTGAGAAAGGGATCCCATCCCATTGAAGTAAGTAGTGTGCATTTTAATTATAAATCGTTTTATCATCTGGAAAAAGTCAGAGACGGGGATAGGATAAATTCAGATACATCACTAATTAGTTTAAAAAATACAATTTTGTGGAGGAGGTAACAGATGGAGGTGATCGATTGTGTAAAATTGATAAAAAAAAGTATTGACATTATAATTTTTCTTACTTTGCCAAAAAAATTTAGTTTCAAGAAAACAAAAATTACCACAGGTACAGAAAACTGCGAATTATTTAATAACTACTATACAACTACTACAAAATGGATATTTCCCACTTTTTTGTAGTGTTAATACAATCATATAAAAATACCAGTGTTTACCTAATTTTAAAATTAAATTTAGTAAATATTGCAGCTGTATATGCTTGCTAATTGATTCTATTTAAATTTTAATCTGATAACTTCAGCAGGGGCAGCGAAGCGCCACGGGTCCCGCTAGTATTTTATATTTTCAATTTCTTCTATCAACATTTTTCAGGAAAGAAATTTCACCTATAGCCAACCTGTTACAACAACACGGTGTAAGGTCTTTGTGCATATGTTTGTAACAGACAGGAAGCGGAAACAGGAAACGAGATAGACCCATGGTCCCTTTTGAGAATATGCATAGAATCACTTTCTGAGTCAATTTAAGCATTTCCAAGCTAAATAGCACACAAAGTACAGATCGCATTTATGATCCAAATTTGACACAGCTCATTTGACTCAGGAATGACTCGAGGATTTGACTACATTCTATTGGAATATAATGACATTGACATATAAATGGAAAATAATGTATTTTAATTGAAAATCAAGAAGTGCGAGAGAAATCTTCAAAAATAATATATCAGTCGTCCCCAAAACGACCCTCCCTGATCAGTTCATTATTGTGACCTGTTCATAAAGTAACAAATTTCTTATTAACGAAGTTCGGATTTTTCCCGAGCAATGCATCTACACAATTTGGGGTGGGTGTGCAACTTACACACTTTCCCATAATCTATTATAAAAGTTTTGTTTTTGCTTTAGTTTAGTTTTACGATTAGAAAACTTTAAATTCCACTTGTAAAAGCTCTCTCTCTCTAGCTCTCTAATGTGTGGAAAAGATTTTTTTATCGTTGCAACAATTTTTAGTTTACGTTGAACATTTCTACAATTCGTTTGCTGCGTAGTTCATCACTTAATTTCCATCAAATGAGTAACCAAGATCAAAGTGATCCGTCTCCAGTACAAGCTGGTGCACCAACACCTCCACCTCTACCATCATGGATAGAACCATCTGCATTTGAAAGTGTATTTCGCGAAGTTTGTCCAGATTTAAAACAAGTCAAAGATTTTAAGGCTATACCTGCCTTGGGAGCTGGAGAAAATTATGCCACTCTAATGTTGCGACTAACGGCTGAAGTGGAATTGAAGGGTAAGAACTTGTAATTAAAATCTCATTAACGAACTAAAAATAATGGGGTGTAACGATAATCAATAACAAGAGAACTTACAAAAAAATATTTTTGATATAAAATGTATAGATTTTATTCCAAAATAGTAATGACCTAAATCCTGTTATAATGAGTGTATCTCGTAATTGACTTTTTGTGTACCAACCTAATACAACAATGTGTATACGGAAGTGACGGACAATTTTCATTTGTTTTGTTTATTGATAACTAGCTGGACCCGTGGCACTTCGCTGCCCCTTCCAAAGGCCAAAAAATTAAATCCATAATATGGTAATTTTTACTATGAAATGTGTAACTGACTTAGAATTTTTAAACGTATAGCATTATTGCTATGAGAAAAATCCAACATCGCGCAAATATTCCAAATTCGAGGTATCAAAATATTGATTTTTCTGGAGGAGTGTGTGAAAGAAAATAACATCCTTAAGTGTCCACGGTAATATATATACTGAATAAATTTTTCAAAAGAACATCCAAGAAAGCGAGTAACATATTCCGACACGTGATTGTCACTACGTAGATTTTTAATAAAGCGTGTTATGGTATTAATAATTCGCTTTAGCTTATTAACATGCAAATCAATGGATCCCGAATACACTCCAAGTCCATATAATTGCAGCGACATTAACAGAGCATTTGCCAGTATTAACTTTACACGTCGCGTTAAATATAAATTAGATGTAAAAATTCTACGTAAAGTGTTGCAATCTTTCCCCGCTAAAACAGTTGCTGTACAACAATAATTTTGCACTGATCTAGGAATATATTGAAGGATGAGGGATTATGATTATTAGAACAAAATCCCAAAGCTTTTGGTTTGAAAAAATTTATATTAAAATATTGCACAGAACGCAGTACATAAAGGGTCTTAGATGGATGTTTTTGTTATCTTCCATCAAAGTAGAAGTATCCATTGAAGCGAATAAAAATTAAAGCTTTATCTAAATTTATCATATCCCAGTCTCCGACTTTTAACGTGCCTTCTAGATGATCAAACGATTTATAATTAAAATTCACACTATTCACTTCGGTGTTTTTTAAGCCAAATAACATTTTTCCAAAGTAAATATGTTTTCACAAACTGAAAAAGACAGTAAGGAAAGCAGTAAATTCGGAACATACATCATTCTTGACCTAATTTAGTAGGATGTACCCAATTTCGTGCAAATCGAAAGATATATAGAGACCATTTACATTAAATCGGACAAAAATATGTATGGGAGCTATATCTAAATCTGAACCAATTTTTATGAAACTTTGCGCATTCATTCTAATTCAGTACGCTATGCCAAAATCTATCTAAATCTGAATCGTTTTTCACGAAACTTAGCACACATCATTCTACGCTATGCCAAAATTCATGCAAATGGAATGATATATAGCGATTTTGGTGTGCCAATTATAGAGGCTTTAGTGCACCATTTACATATGGGAGCTATATCTAAATCTGAACCGATTTTCACGAAACTTTGCACATATTATTCTAGACTTAATTTAGTCCGCTTTGCCAAAATTCGTGCAAATCTAATGATTTTCAGGGGCTTTGGTGCACCATTTACCTAAAATCGGGCAAAATTATATATGGGAGCTATATCTAAATCTGAACCGATTTTCACGAAACATAGTATACATTATTCTTGACCTAATTCAGTATTCTATACCAAATTTCGTGCAAATCGAAAGATATATACTGACTATTTACATTAAATCGGACACAAATATATATATGGGAGCTATATCTAAATCTGAACCTATTTTCATGAAACTTAGCACAATCATTCTTGACTTAATTCAGTACGCTATGCCAAAATTCGTGCCAATCGAATGATATATAGCGACTTTGGTGT